GGAGGGATGCTGGAACAGCTGAGACTGGAGAGAGGTAAGCAGCTGCTTATATACTCTGGCTGTTGATTGAAAGATTAGATGGGCTCGCTCCTTCCTAACTTACGTTAAGGAACTTCATTTAACAAGTTCGTTTGCCCATATAATCTTAAGGAAAATGTGTGTAAACTTTGGCTTGCTGTCCACCGATGAGGGGCTCGATGAAGCAGCTTCAACTCGAGCTCTGATATACCCTACAGAAATAAAGAAATAAATTTGGGACAGCAAGTCGAGTTTAGCGAGATCAACATATCTGAGGGTTTAAATATACGGGATACTTCAAGAATTCAAGAATAATGGTGATACCCCCCAAAAGGAGTGAAATTTAAGCTATACTAATGATGGTGGTGAGAGAGCCACGCTTTGGAACTTTAATTAAGGAGCATCTTACTGCTGCGGCAGTGACTTTCCTGGAATTACTCCTGCGGGAGTATCTCAGGACTGGAGGTTTGAGAGCGTAGCTGGAGTACACCCTGCTGCACATCCGTGCCATGGAGCCCTATGAAGTAAAAATACCAAGGGGCCGACTCCCCCCCCCCCCTGGCCGCAGAAAGAGGGAGCCCGCGGTGTATATATAAACGCAGAGCTACCCTCCCCCTGATGCGAGGGTTTGGACCACGTAAGGACATGCGGGCCCGCTACACCCGAGGGACAGATGAACCTTGGTACATCCAGTCCGCTTGTTTGGATAGGAGGGCTCACGCTGCGATCCGAACGGGAGAGCCCCCATAGTTAATAACATGGAGGATCACATGGCGATTCGGAAAGGGGGAGCCTCCACTGCGCCCGAACAGAAAGCTCACACTGCGATTCGACCGGGAGAGCTCCCGCGCATTTGAAGGAGAGAGCTCCCTATAGGTATCAAAGGAGATCTCAATCGCAATCATACGGGAGAGCCCACACTGCGATTCGAATGGGAGAACCTGGACGGCATCTGGATGGGGAGCCCACACGGCGATTCGAATGGGAGAGCCCACTCCAGGAGTGGTAGCTCGCGCCGATTTGAAAAGGGGGAGCTCTCACTGCATCCAGATGAATAGGAGCCCTGCGGGACCATGTAAACAGGAATGCGCGGAATAGTAGGGGGGAAGCGGTCCGGACTCAGAAAGATGCTAGTGTTTGGTGAGCTTGTCTAATGTGGAGAAGATCAGATCGAATGTATGTTTCGAAGGTATGAGACGTCCATCAACCCAGCATTTTAATTTGGGTTCGGAAAGTCCCCTCTGTGCTGCTGTGGTGGCTGCCCCAATGCGTAACGAATGGGAAGAGAAAAGTTTGGTTGGGATGCCAGATCTGCTGAGGATGGCTTTGAGGTTATTTTGGAACCAATGTCTGGAGGCAGGAAGGTTTTTATCGTCGATAAAAAGAGGGTCAAGAGAAGAGGTAATTTGGGATTTCCTCTGATGAAGAAAAAGGGCTACGGACTGATATGGTTCGATGGGGGTTGGCAAATTGAAGATGAAGATTGAATGTCCGCGTTTCAGTTGGTCAGTTTTGCTTTGTTTGATGTTGAAACGTATGATGTCGCGGTTTATAATTTGAAGGACGGAGAATGTAGGATGTATGGCTGGGTTGAAGTTTGAGTTGGTGGTGAGTTCTGAGACTCTGAGGAAGCTGAAGAAAGCCAAATTGAACATGGCATCCAAGGTTCTTGTTTTGTTAAGGGAAAATAAACTTGAACAGAGAGTAGTTAGGCAGATGTTGAGGAGATCGATGGTTAGGGGCTGTCTAGAGTCTGGACAGGGGGGACTGGTTTTTTGTAAACCTTTGAGGAGGAGATAAATCTGAGGGTTTGAAATGTTGGGGCACTGTTGGCCGTAGATGAGTTTGAAAAAGAAATGGATGCCGCTGAGGTAGACTTTGATTGATCCTGGTTTAATTGAATTGGCAAGATTGAGGGAAGAGATGAAGGAGGATATTGAGAGGAGGGAAAACTCAGGAAAAACCATGTTGTGAGCTCTGTGGAAGGTTTTGAAAGAACTCCACGCTGTCCAGTAGGTTTAGAGTGTTCTGGGAGAAACGGCTTGTAAAATGGTATTGGTAGATAGGGTATGGAGGTGTCTGAGGAGGTGGTCTAGAGGAATAAGAGTTCTGAATAAGGAGGAACTGGAGTTGGGTTGGAGTCTGCATCCGCAGCCAATGTTCTGAATTTCTGAAAAAGAAAACGAGATAAAGCATCAGCGATTTCATTTTGATGACCAGGAATGTGTTCAGCTTTAATGACAAATTGGTGACAGGTAGAGATCCAAATTAAACGTCTAAGAAAGGGCATGATTTTTGGAGCACTAGAAAGGCCTTTGTTGATGCAGTGGACGGTGGCAGAATTATCACAGTGAAAAAGGATGTTTTTCGTTGACCATTCGGAGCCCCATAGATAGGCTGCTACTACTATGGGGTATAGCTCAAAAAGGGCAGTTGATTTGGCGGTTTGGCTTGTGTCAGTGAGCTCAGGTGGCCAGGTTGAGTCGAACCACCGTCCTCTGTAGAAACCTCCGAAACCAGTGGAAGTGGCAGCGTCAATGAATAAGGAGATGTCACAAGGTCGGGACAGAAAATCATCGTAGAAGAATGTTATGCCGTTCCAACTCTTTAAGAAGGTGATCCACAATTTCAAATCTGCCCGACATGGTTGGCTTAGATAAATTATTTGTTCTAGATCAGAGGCTGAAGTAGCGAGAGTTAGCAGGTGGGAAATGAAAGGCCGGCCTTGGGGAATTATGCGCTTGGCTTAATTTAGGTGGCCTAGGAGCGAAAGCAAATCCTGCTTGCTGCAATGGTTAGAATCTAACAAGTTTGATGCGATTGTGACTATGACTATCTGTTTTTTCTTTGGGGAGAGAGGCTTGGAGTTTGACGGAGTCAAGGAGGATACAGAGAAATTCCAAGGATGTAGAAGGGCCCTCGGTTTTTTCAGGAGAGAGGGGAACACCTAGTTTTGAAAACACTGATTGGATGACGGTTAGGTGTTTGGCTGCAGGGGGAATGACTTGGAGAAATGACAAGGAAATCGTCGAGGAGATGGATGAGGTATGGGATGGCATAATTGTTTTGTAAAATCCAGCAGAGCGCTTCAGAAAGCATATAAAAAATTTTTTGACTGCTTTTACAGCCAAAAGTAAGACGGACTGCGAAGTAGAATTTCTCGTTCCAATGGATGCCAAACAGATGCCAGAAATCTGGGTGAATGGGCATGACTTTAAAAGCAGATGTTATGTCGACTTTTGCTAGCCAGGCTCCGAGACCGGCATTTTTTATGAGAGTGATTGCTTGGTCAATGTCATGATAATGTAGGGAGAATTACTCGGATGGGAATGTCCGTGAAGAGCAGAGAGATCAATGATAAGTCGCTTTTTGGCGGAAAATGTTCTGGTGGCTACTCCGATAGGACTTATGCGAAATAATTCAGAAGGTGGAGAATCGAAAGGGCCAATCATGAATCCAGAAACTAAATTTTTTTTGATGAGGGCTTTGACTGTGTTGGGTTCAGCTGTTGCAGATTGTAAGTTATTGCAGATCATGCTAGAAATGGGTATACTTTCCAAACCGGGGTCAAAACCTTCTTTCAAACTTGAAAGAAGGAATTGAGTGAAATTTTTGTCTGGATGGTTTTCCAATTCACTAGCTAGAGAAGGAATGATAATAGGAGAAGAAAGGTACTTTTGAAACTTTTTATTAAGGTTAGCAGACGAGCGGATCGTGGATCGTGCATGGGCTCCACCACAGAAATTGCAGACGTGGAGGAAGCGGCATCGTTGTCTGGTGCAGCCCGAAGTGTTGAAACTGTTACAGACTTGTCTGCCTGAAACTGAAGTGAAGATCTGGTCATGATTGCTTCTTGAGCGAGGGGTGTATGAAGTGGATTTTGGAGCTTGAGACGACACTGGATTGGGTGGAGGATTGGGGTTGGTTAGGGGACATTCTGCGGTTGGATGAACAATGGACCTGCAGATGGCACAGGAGAGGCTTCAAACGCCTAAGAAAACTCGGTTTACAGTTCGAGGTCTAGGGCTCCCCAATATAGACACTGGTTCCAGTGGGTAAAATTGGACTTGTCAATGTGTTCTTTTGTGTTAATGTTGAAAACTGTTCTGTGACAGGGTCTTAGGTTTAGGCTTGCTTCAGAGAGGCTGGGGTCCGATTTATGACATCCTGTTGTCAGGGGCCTCTGTGGAATTTTTGTGACTCCTCGTGCCTCAACTCGGTTCTGACCAAATCTTAGATTGTCTGATTCGGTCTGATATCCTACAGGAGGTAGAGAAGCAAAAGGAGTTACGGAAGAGTAAGATGGGATAAATAGGTCTCTCCTGGGAAGTGGAGTAACCTGCATATGAGTATTCGTGAGCGCTGAAGGAACTGAGGAACTGTTTTTTGCGGCTGCTGTTGCTGGCCGGGTGGAAAGGCCGGCGGACGAGGAAGTGTGAGCGGCTCTAGTTTTTTCCCCTCTGATCTTTGCCATAGCCTCTGGATTAGCGCGCTGAGGATGACTGCGTTCCGAACGCCAAGCCGGGAGAGAAGCAGAAATGGATGACGACTGGGTCTTCTTTTTTGGAGAAGTTGAGGAGTTTGTTGGGATGCTGGAGCTGTTATTGGAGTTAATGAGTATATCGTAGAGTTGAGCTTTTGATGATCTGCGGGAGAAATGAAGTCCGGAATTTGAGCGGGCTTGACGTAGGCTGTTGACGGACCATTTTTGAATGGGTGGAATTGGAGGAATGGTGGCAGCGGAATGACGAGATGGATGAGGCGCGGTTACCGCTGGTGATCTTGAAGATGGAGGGGAGAGTCTCTTTGTTTGGATCCGTGTGATCCAGTGATTTGCACATTGCCACTGTTGGTGTCTCGGGACAGGAGAAAAGTTCGTCATCTGACGGAAAAAGCTGGAGGTCCGGTGAGCCTGACATAATTTGTACGACACAACCGGAAAATGCTGGAACAGCTGAGACTGGAGAGAGGTAAGCAGCTGCTTATATACTCTGGCTGTTGATTGAAAGACTAGATGGTCTCGCTCCTCCCTAACTTACGTTAAGGAACTTCATTTAATAATTCTATGAGTCTCACTTGTGAAACAGGTATTATAGTACATGAGTTTGCTCCATAATGCTCACATGGTCTAATTTTGGGTAAAAATAGAAAAATAATAGTACTTTGTAACGCAGTAACTAGTTTTTCAGCAAGCTACATTTTTACTCTTACTTGAGTCATATTATTTTTCAGTACTTTTACTTGTACTCAAGTAAATTATTCCTTAAGTAGCCATACATTTACTTAAGTACAGTTTCATAGTACTCTTTCCACCACTAGGTATATGTAAATTTAAAGCATAAAACGTCATTCAGATTTCAGATGTGCACTTAGTCATGTGTAATATGTATGTGGAGGATCTCGTCCATTTGATGTTCATCATGCTCATCTGATGTTCGCTACTGTTATGAATAAGATATGCAACTTTAATACACATGGGAAATTCCCAATATTAAACAAATAATCAAATTTACATGCATAGGACATTTGCGTTCTAAGAGTGTACAGGAATACTTCAGATATAAAAACACTCTGATGTTTTCTCATTAAATCGGTAAGATTTACTGTTAATTCAATAGAATATATGGGAGCACTAGGGAATAAGAATATGGCGGTGTAGTGGCTTCACTTCTATATCATTGAGAGTAATCCAGTTCTCTGTTATAGATTAGTGGTGTAAACTTATAATAATGGATTACTATGGTCACATGGACTTAATGGACACACGTACGCGGTGACCATAAAGTCCTCAAGACACATCAGATTTTATTTAAAATATCACTTTACCTCAAACATCTTGTTTTTATAATCCTTGAAAAACGCAATCAAATAAAATTAGATTAAAATAAAATTAGATTAAGCAGACCTAAAGTAGAAGAGAGATCTCGCTTCTGGATTGCAAAATAACAAAAACACATCAGTGATGAATGTCTCGATATTATCTCATGTAGAAACATTTGGCAATGTACAGTTTGCTTGATCAAATTTATGTACCAATAATAAATTGTAAGTGTGTTTTTTTAATATACCCAGCACCAAAAGTAGAACTGTTAGAATCAGAATCAGAATGAGCTTTATTGCCAAGTATGTTTACACATACGAGGAATTTGTTTTCGTGACAGAAGCTTCCACAGTGTAACAAAATGACAGTGACAGAACAAAAAAACACAGATAATAAAAAATAAAAACACAAATAAATAAAAAATAGGTCAAGTAAATAAGAAATAAACGATGCCACAGAACTGTTTGCTCTGTAGGCAAACTGAAGAGGATCCAGCAAGGGTCCAGTGATGTCCTTCAGGTGGGCCAGCACCAATTTTTCAAAAGACTTCATGACCACAGATGTTAGAGCCACAGGCCTGTAATAATTTAGTCCTGTAATTTTGGATTTCTTTGGTATGGGGATGATGGTGGAGCATTTGAAGCATGAAGGGACTTCGCACAGCTCCAGTGATCTGTTGAAGATCTGTGTGAAGATGGGGGCAAGCTGGTCAGCACAGGATTTCAGACAGACTGGTGTAACACAATCTGGGCCTGGTGCTTTTTTCCTTTTCTGCTTCCGGAAGACCTTGTCTTCGCTGATCTGAATTGCAGGTGTGGGGGAGGGGGGGGTTGCTGGAGGTATGAATGGTTGTGTGGAGAGTAGGGGTGTGCGATATATATCTTCTGCAATAATATCGTAATTGTTGTTTTAACGATGTGCGATTTGACATTATCGAGTATTTTGCAAAAACCATTCAAAATATCCCTACAGAGCGCACGCATACATTATGTGAAGTCTAGACTAGTGTGTGTGCGCATTTAGAGCGCGTTCTTTCACTGCATGATTCAGTCTTTTAAAATGCATTTAGAATGATCACAAATTCAAGACATGATGGCAGAAAATGTATATATTTATACCACTTCATATAGCTATTCAATTTCACACGATGAATGAATCAACCGTTTAAATGATTCGGTTCAATCGCAATGACTCACTTATTAACAGTGATTTGCTACCACCTGCTGGTGGTTTTAATTTCAAATTTCGGCTTTTTCTTTTTAGATTTTTTTTCATGTTTTAAATCATTTCAAATATCAGTATTCAATGTTTTATGTTTAATATATAAAAACATTATTTATGCATTTGTAATTGCAGGTTAAATGCATTCATGTCTTGCATTAAACAAAATACATGTGTGTAAATACATCTAAATGCCACTTCAGATGCAGCTTCTGTGTTGAGTTCATTTGCTTGGTAACAGCCCAAATGTCTTATTATTCTAATTCCCTGATTAAATGTAAGCATTTGAATCAAAAGATAATGGACACGTTTAGCGTTTAGAAAAAATGGCTTTATAAAAGTAAAAATGCCCATAAAATGTAAAAATCAGTTTAAACTTATTAGAAAAGATTAACTTCTATCAGTATGAACTGACCACCACACAGAATATGAAGAATATTAAAAATATTAGGAGTCAGCTGTCTTCGGCAGTCCTTAAGGTACCAGCACAATAACACACTCAGCAAAATATCGACTAATTATCGTTATCGATAAAATCCCAGAAAATATAGAGATATTATTTTTTGTCAATATCTCACACCCCTAGTGCAGAGGTGTCCAGGGTGGGTGTGGGGTGTTTTTTCAAACCTGCAATAGAACACGTTCAGATCGTCTGCCAGTTGTTGATTCTCCACAGTGCTGGGGGATGGTGTCTTGTATTGGTGATATCTTGCAGACTTTTCCACACTGATGCGGAGTCACTGGAAGAGAATTTAATCCTTATTTTTCAGAATAATTCCTCTTTGCCACTCTGATCTCCTTTTCCAGTGTGTATTTAGCCTGTTTATACAAGACATTGTCCCCCTTCCTGTAAGCATCTTCTTTGGCCTGACGGAGCTGTCTGAGTTTTGCAGTGAACCATGGTTTGTCGTTGTTGTAGGTTAAATGAGTCCTGGTAGGAATGCACATATCTTCACAGAAACTGATATAAGATGTTACAGTCTCTGTGAGCTCGTCCAGATTGGTGGCAGCAGCTACAAAAACACTCCAATCAGTGAGGTCGAAACAAGCTTGTACATCCTGCTCTGCTTCATTAGTCCATCTTTTTACAGTCCTTAAAGGACCTTAAATATGCTGCTTTTTTAAAGATAATTATTTGGTGTATTTGGTGTAACAGAATATGTTGACATCTCCCGCAGCGAGTAGAAAGGCTTACAGTCTTTAAAGGGGTCCTTTTATGCTTTTCCACTTTTTTTATTTTAGTCAGTGTGCAGTGTGTATGTTTGGGCATAAAAAAGATCTAGAAAGTTACAAATCTCAAAGTCCACTCCAATTTTCAAGAACTACAGCAAACGGCTCGTTTGGACTACAGTGTTTGGTTTCCGGGCTTTGTGATATCACAAAGCGGCTCATTAGAATTTCTTTACAAATAATTCCCGCCTACAGAAATTCGAATGGTTGGGGGGTGGGGAGGGGCGAGGTCGTGGTTAGAACGCTTGGTTGAGTGAGCACATCAGACGAGACGACGAAGAAGAAGAGCTGCTGTGCTGTAGCCTCAAATTTTTGGCATGTCTAGAACAGTGGTTCTCATTTCCAGTCCTCGCATACCCTCGCTCTGCACATTTTGTGTGTTTCTTTTATTGCTTCATACGTTTGTTATATTTGACTGTAAGTGCCCTGCGAAGTGGACATTACCGGATATTCCGCTGTGATTACAGTTTGAAGGGAGCGTATATGTTCCATACAAAGGCCATTTAAGTGTGCGAGACGTGAATTTAAATTGTATTTATTTACAGAGGTATATTATGTCCCACTTTACGCTTCTCTAGTAAGTTTCGTTTGTGTGTGAAGACGCTGCAGGCAGTGGCGCAGCGCAAATCTGTAAATGAATATTCCGAAGTGAAGTAAACTTCAACGGATTTCACCTGCTCAGGGAGTAGGGACCATGTCAATCGGAACACAGTTCATGCACGGAGCTCACTTCTAACGAGATGATGATCTGAATCAGGTGTGTTAACAAAGAGAGCCGTGCAAAACATGCAGAGCAGGTACGCGAGGACTGGGATTGAGAACCGCTGGTCTAGAACAATTCTTACAAGTACAACACGACGTAGCTGGGCGCAGCGGACAGACGCTGAACGGCGCCGCCGGTGTGCCTACACTCATAGAAAATAATGTATTTGAAATTTAAAGATGTGTGCGTGTCTCGTCCGGTGCGCAACTGCCTTTTGTTTTTCGGAAGGCAGACCTTCATCAAAGCCGGAACTAATCAAGCCATTTGTGGCAGGCTGGGGAGAAATGTATTTTAATAATGTAACTTATGTAAAAAATAATGCGTTTTTCGAACCACCAAGCATGAGAGCATGTTCTAGTACACCCCCAAAACAAAATCAAGACTTTGTAAAAGAGCATAATAGGAACCCTTTAACACAGTTACATCTGTACACCACCTCTCATTGATGTAAGAAAGCATGTCCCGCCGCCATGTGATTTCCCCGTTGAAGGAATGGATAGTTAACATTAGAGCTTATCGATACTACGGTCTTTTGTCATTTAGCCCCAGGGCTCATTTAATACCGGGTTTAGGTATACATTCCTCAACCACAAGAGAAGCAAAGAAGGATCAGTTACAAAGCTACATGACAGTATATATTGCATCTGTGTTTCCAAAATACATTAAGCAGAAGAATAACGCAGTCATTTTAAAAACAACAAAGAACAAGTTTAAAAATAAATCCCAGTCTCTCTTAAAGTGTTACAGTCTCTTCTTCAGCTTCCTGAACAAGAACAGTTTGTAAAAAGCTTCTACTTTCCTTCATGAAAGAGTAAGCAAACTACAAGTGACACATGCATTATAAGGCAATTGAACATAATATGAAACTCATAAGAAAACACAATGATATTTATATCATGAAGCAAAATAATACGCAATAATAAAACATTTTGACATTGTTGTTTGGGGAGGAACTCCATCTTTGAGTTGAACTGAATCTCACAGTTGAATCTGCTGGTTTTGAAGATGATGAACTTTATTCACTGTGAAAACTTTAGATAATGTTTCTTTGTCATATCACTTGTAATGACTGGTTAGAACAGATTAATCCAGATGATATTCTATTGCTTAATGCATTATTGTTTCAAGTTTGATGAGAAGGCAGCATCAGATCTGAAAGTGCTGGATCTGTAGATGATCTACTTACTGTGAATGCTTTTTGTATGACTGTGTAGAGCAGATGAACGATTGAAACACTTCCCACATGCAGTGCAGTGATACGGCTTCTCTCCAGTGTGGATCCTCTCATGTGTTTTCAGATTTGATGACACACTGAATCTCTTGTCACAGTGTGAACACTCATAAGGTTTCACTCCAATGTGGATCCTCTCATGTGATTTCAGATTTGTTGACTTATTGAATCTCTTGTCACAGTGTGAACACTCATAAGGTTTCACTCCATTGTGGATCCTCTCATGTGTTTTCAGGTCTCCTGACCTATTGAATCCCTTGTTGCAGTGTGAACACTTATAAGGTTGCTCTCCAGTGTGGATGCTCATGTGTTCTTTAACATGTACTGATTGTGTGAAACTCTTCCCGCACTGATCACAAGTGTATGGTTTCTCTCCAGTATGAACTCTCATGTGACCATCAAGACTATATTTGCATTTCAAACTCTTTCCACAAAGATTACATGTGTACAGTTTCTCTCCTGTATGAACTTTCATATGTGTCATAAGGCTTCCTTTTTGTACGAAACTCTTCCCGCACTGATCACATGTGTACGGTTTCTCTCCAGTGTGGATCCTCTCATGTGTTTTCAGGTATCCTGACTGACTGAATCTCTTGTCACAGTGTGAACACTTATAAGGTTTCTCTCCAGTGTGGATGTTCATGTGTAACTTAAGGTTTGCGAAGTGTGCAAAGCTCTTTCCACATTGATTACATATGAACAGTTTCTCTCCTGTATGAACTCTCATATGTGTCATAAGGTTTCCTTTTTGTGTGAAACTCTTCCCGCACTGATCACATGTGTGCGGTTTCTCTCCAGTGTGGACTATCTTGTGTTTCTTCAGATGTGTTGATCGACTGAATCTTTTGTCACAGTGTAAACACTTGTACTGTTTCTCTCCAGTGTGGATGTTCATGTGATCCTTAAGGTGTGTTAAGTGTGCAAAACTCTTTCCACACTGATTACATATGAACAGTTTCTCTCCTGTATGAACTCTCATATGTGCCGTAAGGCTTCCTTTTTGTGTGAAACTCTTCCCACACTGATCACATGTGTGTGGTTTCTCTCCAGTGTGGACTAACTTGTGTTTCTTCAGGTCTCCTGACCGACTGAATCTCTTGTCACACTGTGAACACTTGTACTGTTTCTCTCCAGTGTGGATTTTCATGTGTACCTTAAGGCTCAACGATTGTGTGAAACACTTCCCGCACTGATCACAAGTGAATGGTTTCTCTCCAGTATGAATTCTCAAGTGAACATCAAGATTATATTTGCTCGTCAAACTCTTTCCACACTGAGTGCAGGTGAAATATTTATTGGCTCCTCTTTTCTTCAAATCTTTCTGTTTGGTTTGAGGGCAACTCAAATGTTTTTCTCCAGTTTTGACATGATTTTTCTCCTGAACTTCATTTAATTCTTCATTCTCCTCACTTTCTTCAATAAACTCTAAAATCAAAGCAAAAATAGTTAATTTGTCAGTAATTTGGAAAAAAAGAGATACGTGAAAGTACATAAAAGTGAACCCTGTTGTAACAGAGTAAAGACAATTTCGATAATTTTTTTCCCTTTTTATGGAATTTTATAAATTATACTTCCCTGAAACTTTCATGAATGAGTTACATTGATATTCAAAATATTATTTTTGAAACATTATAGAAACAAATCCCATGTTTCTATTAGGAGAACTATTAAATTTGTTTGATCAACTACAAAATTATCTAAAACATTTTGTTGAAAAAAAGTGTCCCTTATTATTTGCTGCTTCATCTATATTATTCAACAGCTCTAACATTTCTATTACAAAAAACTAAATCTAAAACTGCTTGAAACTTTATAACTGTCACTATTGTTAACGCTCTGGGGTCGAAGACCACACTGGTGCGGTCTGTCATGTTTTTTCTTTATGAACTGCAAAAAGAACTAAAAATACTCAATTTTTGATCATTCAGATACGAATAAGGTATCATTTAAAACCGCAAAGGGTCTACTTTTGAGTATAGTCATAATAACAACAAAACAATGTGCTTTTGTAAAATACAGAAAATAAACAGGGTGCACTCTAGGTTTGGGCAATGTCGACCAATTTGGCATTGTATTTTATTGTAATTTGTAATATATTTATTATCAAACACCTATGATCCGACCCGCATGTTCTTTGTGTTGCCCATAACCAAACCCGTAAATAAAATTAGCACACAAAATACCACCTGCCAATCACTTTTTTTCGCGGGACCCTGGTGTGAAGTAGGCATAGTGATCTAATAATGGCACTGACAAACTTGGTCAGTAAAATAGTGACCTATACTTCGTCTATCTGGCAATATTTTGGCTTTAGACCTAATGAAAGAGGACAGCCAAGAGACACGTCTGAAGTGGTGTGCAGGATTTGTGCTCTTGTAATCCACACAAAAGATGGACAGACAACAAATTTACATGACCATTTGCATGTGCACCATCCCGCAGAATACAGTTCATTGCCAATGTCATCACGAACAACTGAACTTCAAAAAACAGCTAGGGACCTACCAACCATATCTGAGGCTTTTGCCAAAAGTACAAAGTACAAGCGTGACCGCGAAAGATGGAAGCAGTGTACTGATGCTGTAATTTGCTACCTAGCAAAATAAATTGTTTCTTTTAATACGGTAAAGAAGAGCGCATTTAAGGCCATGCTGCAAACATTCGACAAGCAGTATGAGCTGCCAGGTCGGAAATTCTTCTCAAATATATGTCCAATAATACAGTCCCAAAGTTGTACAACATCATCAGAGCATATATTTCAGCAGTGCTGGATGATGTGGAATATTTGGCCCTGACAACTGACATGTGGTCCAGCTGAAACATGATGCCTTACATGTCAGTGACCGCACATTATGTCAGCAAAGAGTGGACACTAGGATCGAAATGCCTACAAACAAGCTTCATGCCAGAAAGTCATACAGCCCACAACCTGAAAGAGGCATTGCAGGAGAGTATACGTGAATGGAAAATAGATGAAAGAAAAATCTCCTGCATAACTACTGATAATGGGGCCAATATTGTTGCCGCCATCAGACAATTAAAATGGCCTTGGTTAAGTTGTTTTGGTCACAATCTGAACATTGCTATAAACAACTCACTTAAGCAGAAGCAGGCCAGCACTGATCAGGCTTTCGGGGTTTGCCGGGCAGTCAACACGGCTTTTTCCCACAGCTAGTAGAAACGTGAGCTGATCAAAGCACAAGTGGAGCTGAAACGTCCTCAGCACTCCTTGATCGCAGTCATTTTTAAAAGTGTGGGCCGATACCTATTACCTAATTGCAGTAATGTAATAAGTGTTCCTACACGTAAAACCATAAATGTTCATATTAAACATGCAGCAAAATAATAGTCCTCCACTGCTGCAGTTGTACGGATTAATAACCCATTTTATCAATTTCATATTTTTCTCATCAAACAGACTAATGAATAGCTCGACACAACTCGTACAGGTCTAGACAGGTATTTCTTCTGTGTAGACCAGCGGTTCTTAAAGTGATAGGGATTCCGCAAAATAATTTGCTATAGCCTAGTATTTCCAGACTGTAAAATCGCTTTTTTTATTATGATACATAGGCCTACTGTGATTTATTCCAAAGTGATTTATAGGATGCATTTAATGTCAAATAATCTAAATGAAGCCTTTTAAAAGACTTGACCTCAGTCTCAAGGAGACCCAGACGCACTAAAGCAGTGCAATCTGTTTTTTCTTTATTTTTCAAAGGCATGACATTTTGTAGTTATTTTGAACGTAACGTTACACAATTAAAAACATACATTTTACCATACGATTATAAATGACAGAGTATTAAGTTATTCCCCCTCGATGGGGAAAAAATCATTTGAGTCACTACTCACCTTAATGTTGTTCTAAAGGCTTATTACTTAACACAAAAATGTCCTGCTCCCACTTGCCAATTTAATGGCAGAGAATGGTGACTTCAGTTTTTTTTTTTTGAAGCGGATGCATATCTGTCGTAAAATAATCCTATGCATCTCGTGGCATATATTCCAAGCATTCTGAAGGTATACTGAGGGTTTGGTGAGAAGCAAACCGAAATGGCAAGCTATTATATTTTATGAAAATCTTGCGTTGCAGTGCAAGTGCGCAGCAGCTCACGCAGCGCACAAGTGCATATCCTTTTGAGATAGCAATTATAATCAATTTTAATAAAACACAAGACTACATTATAAAACTCTAACAGTACACTCTTAAAAATAAATGTGCTTCACGATGCCATAGAAGAGCTTTTTTGTCTAAATGGTTCCATAAAGAACCTTTAACATCTGAAGAACCTTTCTGTTTCACAAAAGGTTCTTTGTGGCGAAAGAAGGTTCTTCAGATTATAAAAAGGTAAGAAAGAGATGGTTCTTTAAAGAACCTTTGACAGAATGGTTCTTCGTGGAATCAAAAGTGGTTCTTCTATGGCATCGCTTGAAGAACCTTTTGAAGCACCTTTATTTTTAAGAGTGTAGGCTATTTAATATCTGTTGTTCTCCAGTTGTCAGTCAATATGACAGTTCTTACATGAACATTATAGGCCTATATATACCCAAGACAATTTATTATTCCTTCCTTTTTGTCTTAGTGTTTAAAATATTTATTTTGAAACAAATTAATTAAACAAACCGACTTACTGGATGAACAGGATAGGCTATGACAGTTGTCATATCATACCCTGCCATGCCCAGTTGATGCAAAGAATAGAATTTATATCTACAAAGAAGAAAGCCCTGTCTAGATTCTTCCCCGGTATGAGTTGTGTTGAGCTATTCATTAGCATAATAACATTGTGTTAATAATCCATACAACTGCAGCAGCGGAGGACTATTATTCTGCTGCGTGATACTACAGAAGAACTGATGACGGCACGGTTTGATCTTCGGCTGACCAATCAGCAGAAAGGGGTGTTTAATTCCCGCCCACATGTAGAAATCGAATATTCAAGCTTTTTATTAATTTTTCCACCCATGAACGAAAAACGAAAATAAGCTGAATTTTCATTTTCGGGAAAAAAAAAAAAGAGCCGTTTTCTAATTTTTCTACTTTCAATATCAAATCAAAACCCAAGCCAATTTATTATTCTTTCCTTTTTGTCTTAGTGTTTAAAATATTTATTTTGAAACAAATTAATTAAACAAACCGACTTACTGGATGAACAGGATAGGCTATGACAGTTGTCATATCATACCCTGCCATGCCCAGTTGATGCAAAGAATAGAATTTATATCTACAAAGAAGAAAGCCCTGTCTAGATTCTTCCCCGGTATGAGTTGTGTTGAGCTATTCATTAGCATAATAACATTGTGTTAATAATCCATACAACTGCAGCAGCGGAGGACTATTATTCTGCTGCGTGATACTACAGAAGAACTGATGACGGCACGGTTTGATCTTCGGCTGACCAATCAGCAGAAAGGGGTGTTTAATTCCCGCCCACGTGTAGAAATCAAATATTCAAGCTGTTTATTCATTTTTCCACCCATGAACGAAAAACGAAAATAAGCTGAATTTTCATTTTCGGGGAAAAAAAAAAAAGAGCCGTTTTCTAATTTTTCTACTTTCAATATCAAATCAAAAAACGAATGATCGAATGATACACGGATTGTACACGGACCCAATGCAAGCGTGCGATCAGACACACAGACAAACATAAATTACTTGCACAAACCATGTATCATTCGTTCAATACATTTTTAATTAAGAATCCACAATCGGAAAAAAAGAAAAACTTATTTCATTATTTCTTTACAAAACCAAAACAAAAAACAACTTGATATCCATATTTTCATTTTTATGCACAAATTAAAAATGGGCAATACAAATATGAAATATCTAAGTCAAACTCATTCCGTAATCATTATTCTTATTTCCCATTTTAATTTGTGCATAGAAACGAAAATATGAATATCAAGTCGTTATTTTTTGGTAAAGAAATAATGAAATAAGTTGCTTTTTGTTTTTCAGATTTGAAGATTCTTAATTGAAAATTAATTGAACAAATGATACACGGATTTTACATGTTAAGCTGATCTGATATTGTGTGCTCACCACATGGGAGGGTAAATGTGCACATTGTAAATATATTTATTTAGAAGTCTGAATAGCTACTAGGCTATAATTACTTAAAAGTTAGATGAATATGTTTTCATGACAGGACTGTGCAACACAATGTGGCTCCAAACAGCGAATGGTGGAGAGAATCTTGGAGCAGGTGCAAGCCATTAAAAGGGTGTTTTCTCAGGACAAAAGCCGCCACCCGCTTCCACGGCTTACATGGCAGGACATAAGTGTTCTGGAAGCGGTTAACAGCAGGTTGAAGCCTGTAGCGGAGTTTATATATATTCTCTCTGGAGAAAACCAAGTTACTGTTTCCTCACTTTCACCAATGTTGGCCCACCTGGAAGGTGTGCTGGAGAAGTCAGAGCAAGATGCCAAACTCACAGCCGACCTGACGCGCGTCATCTTGGAGCAGATGGAAGGCAAATATGGCCATGATGCCATCCTGAGGATGAAGCGTAAAGCAACCTTGCTTGACCAAAGATACAGAGGAGACCACATGAAACCACCCGAGCTCAGTGCCACAAAAACTGAACTGGTTGCAGAGATGGTGGTAGCAGCAGCAACACGCAAGTCTGGCATCCGGTCCTGCACAAGTGAGAGAAGAGGAAGAGGAATCAGGTGCTGGCACCGCGCCTCAGAAGTAAAAGGGTTCACTGGGTTCAGCCTTCTTTGGGAAAAGAGCAACTACAGCAGCCATGCTCACCGCTGATCAAAAGGAGAAGGTTCTGGCTGCAGACTTGCACTCTCAGACTTGCACTCTCAGACGTGCGTCCGCTAGTGACGTCACTTGCAGTCTTTTTTATTTTGTTCTATTTATTAATTACTTTTTGTTTGAATCTCTCAAAATGTATTACAATGTCACTTGCAATCTTCACTTGCACTCTCCGCTACATGCGACGTCACTTGCAATCGACACAAATCGTGCGTGTTGTCAATGGAGACAAGAAGCTGTGGTGGTGATTAAACGATTAAAACTAATTTAGTACTATATAACGTATAGGGTCCTGCAAGCAAAAGACAAGACCCGCAAATCCGTGGGCACAGAACAGCAGAATATGAACGCAATGCACAAAGTCTCTTGTTAAGCGTTTTCCTCCTGTAGAAAAACAAACACTTAATATGGCTTAATGTATTAAGAAAGATTAAGTGCAATTAAAAGATGAAATCTGACATATAGTTATTATTTAATGTACTACAAGGCAAGCAGATGGCCATGAACACAATGTGCAAACTTTCACTTGTCCTCCCATAAAGCAAAACGCTTAATGTGGCATAATAATGGACTAATATGATAAAGACAATTCAGTAGCCTATAGACCAATTTAGAGTAGATGTCAGTTACGTCACTTGCAGCTGCTCAGGTGCCCATAGTGGTTGCAGAAAAACACTGAGAACAAGTGGAGGTAAATGGGTAAAATCCATGGAATAAAAGAAAAAAATATTTTTGTGCCTTTTGATGTCAAGATCAGAATGCAAATAATTTTTATAGAATACTGTCGTCATTTGAAGCTAAATGCAGACGTTTAAATGGACATACTATGGATGAAAACTGCTATGATTACTCTACTTTTAAAGCATAAATTCGATTTAAACAATAGGTCTACATACTATTCACATATGCTGTTAATAGGGGACGTATTGTATTAGCCCTACAGTTACAGCATGAAATATTATTTAAACCTTACTATTAACATTTTTACATAACATTTATTTACTTTATCTCAAAATTCTGACTTTTTTTCTCGCAAATGCAAGTTTATATCTCCTAATTCGGACTTTATAACTCGATTTAACTCAAACTTAAAATAGTGAGATTGTCAAATCTGAGGGGAAAAAAGCCAGAGGAGGGGAAAAGAGAGAATGATGAGTTGTTTTTCCTAATTAGAATTGTGAGATATAATCTCGGAATTGCGAGAATAAAGTCATAATTTTGAAATATAAAATCAAATTTACTTTTTTTATTATTCTTTTATTCCATGGCTCCATTGACTGCCACTTGAAAACCGTCATTTTCTGCCCCCAGATAGGCTCCGCCCACAAAAACCGTCACCCCTGTTTCGGATCTGTAAGACTATCGCACTCTCTAACGTCAATTTCGTTGAATAACAGTGCTTATCGCTGGGCGACAAGCTCTTGTAATATGCGGAGAACATTTTGAAAATGACATATAATCAATATAATTTATAATCTTTTTAAACCTAACTATTTTGTACCGTATCCGAGAAATTCTCTAGCTGTAAAGGCTATCTCTCCCGGGTTTTCTGCAACCATGATGCGCGCGCATCCTGAATGTTTACAAACCGGTAATTGGTCTATATGCCTTGTTGTTGACTCAAAGTATACCAGCAAATATGAACGTGCATTATGAAATGCATTAAGTGATATTAAAAGGATCAACTCCGTGCAGGCAAGCAGACAGCTCAGAACGCAATGCGTTAAACTGCACGTTAAACATTTTCCTCCCATAAAAAAATCATTATAAATAAAACACGTAATGTAGCTTAATGGACAAAGACAACGATATAAAAGAGCTGTAGACCACTTATTCGATATGGAAAAACGCTTTATGCGAAAATTTGCGTGTTGCGTTGCATTTATTCTCTGCTTGCCAGTACATATTAGTTATGTATATTTTAATAATGAAGAGAAGCATATATCATTGGAAAGGTCTGAGTCGCAGGATTCCATATTTGGTGGTTATTTTGAGATAGAAGTAATATTGACAGAGAAATCTAGACATTTGTGACAGAAAAATGCATAAAAAAATTAAATATAGTTTAGATGGCACCCGGTGGCTGTTTGTGGTATAACGCCCTAAATAAAATCTCACAGGAACCTCAATTTTTTTCATATCAGCTTCAAATTCGGTACATAACTTTAGACAAAAGGCTTTAATTTTATACCAATTTTAGAGTAAAACCTATGTAAAATATTTACTATATATAAAATAAAATTAGTATAGCGCATTTTCTTTACAGAAAATTTAAACGTCTATAACTTTTTGATACTTGAATTTTTTGAAAACAAATCCACTTTTGGATAGTGCACTTTATTGCCTATTTAAAAAAATGGGGGGTGACAGTTAAGGGGTTAAAATTAAATATGTACACAGTTTGGATTCAATTAAAGTATAGTCAATTTTTTTAATTAGCATGTTTTTGTGTTTTGCTTTGGTACCGAGAACTGTGGATTTTCACTGGTATTGGTACCAAATACTGAAATTTTGGTACCGTGACAACACTAGTAGGCTGTTAACTGAATTCTATTGTATTTGTCCTTTGCTTGTTTTTATTACTGGCTGTTTAATTATTTTCAACAATTTTATTTTTTACCAACATTAGTACCCTAGTTCTCTGCTGTGGTATTGAGAATTGTGAAATGTTGCTGGTCTCTTAAATGTAGATGTCATGGCAACCTTATAGAAAATATTATATACTTGAATCACGATCTTTAAATAAATCACTCATATAAAGTTTTGGACATATGGCCCACTCATAATCTTGTTAAATAAGCGTCTAGTCTAGATGAAGAATAAACACCAACCTCCTTGTTCCTCCTGTTTTATTCTCCAGGGTTCTGGTTCCTCGTGGTTTATTATCCAGGTTTCTGGTTCCTCGTGGTTTATTCTCCAGGGTTCTGGTTCCTCGTGGTTTATTCTCCAGGGTTCTGGTTCCTCGTGTTTTATTCTCCAGGTTTCTGGTTCCTCGTGGTTTATTCTCCAGGGTTCTGGTTCCTCGTGGTTTATTCTCCTGGTTTCTGGTTCACTCTTGTCCTCCTCACTCTCCTCTTTAACAAACGCCATCTTCACAGCAGCAGATCTTAGTTCAGCTGTTACTCCTCCAGATATTCCTGCTTGTTTCAAAACTTAGTCACGACTGTGGGGATGAGAATATTACAGGTATTTACTGACCTGAATCAAAAACTGTATTTTTTCTATTTACAGAAACAATTCTAAACGCTTACCATCCCGACAAAACAACAGAGAGCACGGTGAAGCTAATCGTCTTCTTCTGAGGTTTAATGGTGTTTGGCAAACAAACGTTTTAGCGCCACCCGCTGGACTGGAGTGTGAAGCGTAGAGAGGAAGGAAATAATACGGGGTAAATTAATAAAAAATCACTTGGTGCGTGCGTCTGTAAGGTGTGCTGTGTCTTTTTTTCTTCTTTACAAAAAACCGGTCTGCACAAATAAACGAAAATGATTTAAAATTATAGCCTCGCATGGTATTTGGTCAACATCAACAGTCTTCCTGACTGAGGATTAGAGGTGAAAAACGAGCGAATTATTAGTGAAATATTTAATTGAAAATCACACAGTTGCAGCATGTTAATATGGAAAATAAGATAAATGAAAACACGTGACAATAATAAGATGAAGTCTAATTAAAAATAATAAAAGATAAATAATAGCCTAATAATTAAAAATAATAATAAAATATAAACCCCACAAAATTTGAACAGGTTTAGCATGAAAAACAATTAACATCTGGGATGTAAAGGTCCCATATTGTCAAAACTGAAATGTCCTGGCTTTTTTCATGATAACAGAGGTCTATGGTGCTATGTAACTACCAAATTAAATTAAATTAAATGACAAAAAATACTGCGCCATTGACATTAGACCAGGTTTTAGTTGGTCAATGGCGCAGTCTATTTCAGTTACCTCAAAATAGCAACGCGTTTTTTTAACAATGCGTTTGTTTTCAGACCAGCATGCCCATGACAGCACAAATGAGTGCAAATGCTATTTAAGCAATGTGGCGCAGGACGTGAAAATGATAACTGTGTCAGGCTGAAACTAGCTGAGACTTGGCCCAGTTATGGTGTGGCCCCTGTCTTTAATTCAGATTAGGGCCACTCCAGGGCCGTCGTTGTGGTATGTGGGCAGAGTGAAAAGTTGTGTGGACCGAAGCTGGGTCAGAAAACGTACAATTGCTATGTGGGTGTGTTGTTTTGAATTTGAAACTACAAATATCCTATATCAAAATATCCTTGTCTCTCTGGTTTTATGTCATAATTAAAACATTCAAAACAAGTCAATTGTTACAGTTGCTGTATAAGATTTATTAATTTATTAAAGTTTTCTGAATACATGAACAGGTCCATGAAATGACCTGATCATGATTAATTGCAATGTGCCTGTAACATGAAATATGAATTGACAATTATGAAGTACAAACATAGCACAGTTGAATATATGTCTCGCACATAGGTCTAAGATTGGCTTGATACCAGTTTGACGCTGTGCTAGAAGTTCACCAGTATTAAACCTCAGTTACATTGAATGGCTGGTATAGTGTCTCATTTAGAGTCTTTAGCATTCTTTTAAAGTAAATTTTATGGCTGAATGATAATTGTATCAGTGTAATACATCATGTGAAAAGTCAATTAATCAAATGTTTAAGATCCAGTCTTTCACTATCTCTCTGTCAGGACATGCCAGGTTTTGGTCTGATATTCAAAGCAGTTAACACCTTGGCATGTAAACTCTCTTATATTTTTACAAGAGATGCAGATACAGAAAGAGCAGAATGCATGAGATAAAGTGATAAAATAACTTAATAAAAATTACTGAATAATCTTTGTTGCATTCTTTATGATCAGTCTTTGTCTGACCAGCATAAATTCCACAACTGTTAACAAGCAAATTCAACTGCTGTTTCCCAAAATCGTCTTGTGATGTAAAAAATCTTTGAGATTACAATACACAACACAACATAAGAATAACATTTACAGTGGTTAATCACATGGTTGGTTAATGGTTAATACAATATGAAAAGTAAATAAATGTTGATTACATTAAGAAATTAATACATAAAGGTGATGTACGAAAGAGATAAAGATTAATGTGAATGAAGACGTCTGTAACTGTCATCCAGATGTTGTGCCAAAGTGTTTAAATCCTGAAAAATCAAGGAAAGCAATTAGTGTGAATTAATTGAATACTGCATTCTGTTGCACAAATGGTAAGTACAAACATACCATAGTTCATATGAGTTCTCGTGAGGTATATTCATCACTATAAAGCTATGGTTATGAGGGCAGGGTCAGCGCTAAGTGGGAGCTAGACTGGACATTGGCCACCCAGCGTTGCTGAACAAAAACAGGGCAATGAGTTTAATTCCTTTCTTCATTTTGGCCAGACATTGTGGCTAACACAAGACAGCTGCATTTTTGGCAACACTATCTGTATTCATATAGCGGCCTCTGGCTTACATTATTCACATTAGCAAGTGTCTAAATGACCTATTTTACTTCAAAGTTTTAAGTAAACATGCACAAATAAAACGATAAACCTTTACTAGTTAACTGAAATAAAACGATCAACTGCACATACCTCTGCTGAATCATAACGTGAACGGTGGTCTCGCGCTGATGATGTCAGCATCCAGGTAGACATGCCCAGGGCACGCGATTCGTAAGCCCACAGTGGGTTATGATTGGTCGACTGACAGGTTCAAATCTGATTGGCTAAAGAGTATGAGTGTCCCGCGTGGGAGGAGTTCGCTGCCAGGAAAGTCTCAAAAATAAACACACAAATCCAAGGCGATTCACATTCACCATGATAAACTCGTGAATTTTAAACATTCAAAAAAATTGTACACAGTTGTACATCTGTGAATTGTGTTTTGCATTTGTGAAACGTATTTTATGAATATATATTCTTATTTCGTGTATGTGAATTATTTCTCATGCATGTGAATTGGGTTATGCATGTGTGTAGTGGTATAAACTTAAGTAGTCATATGTATGTGTTGTTTTATTATTATTATTATTAGTTATCATTTATTAAATAGGATGGTGTTTACTTTTTGAAAAAAAGAGGAATAATAATTAAAAAATGGTACTGTGTAATGATGCCAATTTGAACATCACCTAGACCTGTGTACGCTGGCGGGTAACGCTAGGAGGCGACAGTGAGCCGCAGGGCAGGGAGCGTCATTTATATAAGTCACACTGCCGGTCACTGAAACACGATTCAATGATAGCTAATTTCTTGCACTGTTTATGTGTTTTACAGGTAAGATGAGTGATGGGCATCACAGTGTTTATAAAATGTTTATATGCGAGTTCTATGTGTTTGATGGTGTTTAAAACCGACAAAATTAACCGCATCGGCGCAACCGCGGCTGGTGTGCGGCCGACAGTCATGTTGGCGAGGGCTTGCGCAACCGCGGCGGAGATGCGGCCCACTCGGCTGCGCTGTCGAAGGCCGCTCAAGGCATTGCGACATGATAGAATGTTGGAAGTCGTCACGAGATTATAATTTGTATATTATATATATTTACATTTGTGTTCTGTAATAACTACTAAAGGACTGATAAAGAGAAGTTACAACAGAGTATGTAGAGGGTCATATAGTTTACTTAAAGAAACAAAGTGCTTAGACACCATTTGTGTATGTCTATTGAGAATAATTGTTTGTTTAATGTCATGGAAATGTTAATGAGTTACAGACATACGAGGAATGTATTGTTCTTATTTTCTTTTGATGTAGTGTATATCAGAAGATTGTGCAAAGTGAGTTTATTGTACGAGAGCATCATATTTATATATGAAGAAGTCACACTGCCAGTCACTGAAACACGATTCAATGATAGCTAATTTCTTGCACTGTTTATGTGTTTTACAGAGTGTTTCAGCAATAAAACAATATATGTGCCACCAGAAAACTCCACCTCTTCTGTGTGTGCAACGTGTGCATCGCGTCTTTTGCGTGAATTATTATTGAGATCATTCTGGCTCCATAAATTTTGGCCTGTCTAATTAATATTCATGAGCCTCTCTTCTGATTGGCCTGTTGTTTTCTGAGTGACGCACAGCCAGGCCAACCACAGGTAACTAGGGTCATGTATGCTGTAGCCTGCTGTGGATTGGTGATACTCACAAGTAAGGTCAATAGAAACACCGGTAATGATGGTCACTGCTGAGGGAAATGTTGTCCGGCCTTAAATGTTTGAGCCGAACTCAGACCCCAAATCGGCGACGACAGGAGACAACCAACCACCTCCTCAAACACACTTACAACAGGAAGTTTCAGAATGGTAATTCATGTTTTTTTTCAAACACCGAATGCAGTAAATACAAACCTGACCAGCCAAACGTTTGCTATCACGTGGACTTGAAGACACTTGTACAAATGCGGATGGGTGACATGAATGGAAATGATTCCAGATTGGCGATGTAGTATTTGGTTTCTGTATTCTGTACTGTATTTTCCTGCGCTCAAACCTGCTAATCTAAAGGATCAAACGCCGTGTATGGCATTTGAAGTAATTTGTGAATTAGCATAGACTTATAGTCTAAATAAAACAATTTGCAACTGTTACTATTGTTACACTTGTTTACAAAACTTTGTATTATGCTTGACGGCGACCGTCACAGCCCTACTGTGCAATGATGTAGTTTCATATCCAGACTGAACAACGTTATCTCGACATGTTTCCGTGTTGTTGTTGCTCAGCAATGGCATGGACGCGATGTTGTCTGGGGGTTTGGCAAAAGGAGAGTGGGGGCAGTGCTCGGGTGGTGACTGGAGGCGGTGACTGAATAGTTCTGACGTCACCTTTTTACGGAAGTCACAATGGTTCGTGAAAAATCACAGCTACTTTATGCAGACTGT